CAGAGGGGGGATGTGTGCATTAAAGGACGGGCTAAGCCCACATCATCTGCTGTGGTTGTGTGCACAACATCTGGCTTAAAGATGCCTTGGAGACAAAACATGACACAAACAGCCAACTAAATCTTTATACTTACCCATTAATGATTTAAAAAATACCAGAATTAGTCTCATAATATTAACTTTTTCAAAATAAAAGCCATCTTTTTTCCTCAAAGCATGTGATTTCTCAAATAAAACCAGCCAGTTAATTTTAGAAGGCTATCATGATAAATACACCCCTTCCTATACAAATCAGTTTGCACAGGAAGCCATCAGGACACCTCTAAATGTAATTCTTTTCAAAATAAAAGCCTCCAAGTAGGTATAGAAAGCTACCAGGATGACAAGAGGTATGTGAGAGTTTCTAAATGTGAAGCCCTATTTAGATAGAGCAGGGTTGTCACACTCATTTGATCTTGAGGAATGAAACTGAGCTTTCTCTCATTGTAATAAAGTTTAACTACACATTTCATCTTAATATAATAATAAGCAGAGTAATTTCAAAAATGTATTTCAGTTTTTGTACATGATAAAAAAAATCCTTTTGTAGTAAATGAAAGAAATATGTCAGCATGTCTCTTGACTTAAATTGTCAAAAAAAACAAACCTACTGATAAAAATGGAAAAAACAGGAACTTATTAAATGTATGAAAATTCCGTTAAATGTCCGGGTGGCCTTCCATAGCAATCCAGTGGGCCAGACTGTAGATTTTACTGGGCTGATTTTGGTCCTGAGTTAGACGAATTTATCAAAATGCACTTATATGTCCAGTTTTCAAAACAAAAGACTGTAGTTAGATACTGGAAGCAATGAAGATGCTTCAAGGCTGTCAGAGTTTCAGAATAAAGGCTCTTAGTTAGTCATAGTAAATTACTGCTGGGCTTTAACATGCCAACTTTTCAAAATAAAGCCTTTCTATATTTTTTTTTCAACTTGTGTTTTCAAGAAAGCTTCTCCCTTTTTGCTCATCT